ATCCTCTCCACTGAACTGACCGACTGAGCTTGCATTGATGACCCAACTTAGTCGTGTAAGAACTAAAGGTGGAGGAGGAGGAGAAGAGGGGGGGGAGGGGGGTAAGATGGATAGAGGGGGGGAGAGGAGGGGAGGTGGAGAGGGGTCAGGTTGGATGGAGGGGTGGGTGGAGGGGGTGAGGGGATGGAGGGAGGGATAGGAGGAAGGGTAGAAGGGATAGATGGATGGAGCAGGGGGGGAGGGGGGGTATAGGTTGGATGGATAGGGAGGGTGGGTGGAGGGGGGGGGGTTAAGATGATAAGGTGGGTGAGGGAGGGATAATTGTGGGGGGGGGTTGGGGGTTAGTGATTGTCTTTGCTTTACTATTATTATTATTATTATTATTTTACTCATAAATCTATTATTTACATACTGGTCATGACTGGATTTTTAGTTACTGTCTCGATCAACATAAAAAAAATGGACAATTGCTTTGATAACAATATTACTAGTAATAGCAGTAGCAATGATGATAATGATAATAGTGATACCAATGGTGATAATGATGATAATAGTATAGTTATGGTGATGATGGTAATGAATATAATAATAGTGATAATAATAGTTTTAAGATGTTAAGGATGATGATTATAGTGATAATTATAGTAACTATTATTATAAATAATAATACTGATAACAGCAACAGTGAATAAGAACAACGATAATAATAATATTGATGATAGTAATAATAATAATAGATAATAGTAATAGATTAATATCCATAAAAAAATATATGCCCCTCTACCTCTCCCCCTTCCCTCCCCACCCCACCCCACCCCCACCCCCATCGAAGCATAGGGGCGGCGCAGTCAGCTGTGTGTCGCTCATCCCAAATTGGTCCACAGGTGTGGCTTCATTACGCAGGTGTTTCGCGACCTGGGCACGCCTTTAAACAAACCCTTTGACATATAATTTATCCGCCTAATGATATCTTCTTCGATTGATTCCCCGCGCACCTGAGCCACTCGCGGAATAAAAATCCACACCATAGAAGAGTGGAGTGGGGAGGGGTGGGGAGGAGTGGGGGAGGGAGGAGGTGGAAGGGAGTGTGGAGTGGTGGAGGGGAGTGGGGAGGTGAGGAGGTGGAGGGGTGAGGGAAGGGGAGGAGGTGGAGGGGAGTGGGGAGGGGAGGAGGTGGAGGGGTGAGGGGAGGTGCCTGCTTAACACCTTTCTTCATGCTAAAATTTACAAGTGAGTAAATA